AGATGCAGTGTATTAACCATGGTGACCTTCCTCTTGTCTTGTTTTGAAATTCTGTTTTATTTATTTTTTTCTCTTTAAAATAAAAAAAAAGCCTAATAAACAGAAAAAAGAAAGAAAGAAAGATGCAGAAGGATAGAGTTGCAGGTAAAGTGCAACGCACTTCACTCGTGACCGGCTGCGTCCTTCGCCCATTCCTCCTGCGGTGCCGAATTTTCAAGGCAGCCACCTTGGGACCTGGCGGCTCACAATGATGGCCGGTAGCATCTTGCGCTTTATCCATCGCGGAGGAAGGTGCTCTGTATCTGAGCGTTCCGAGGAAAAAATCCTGGGTTCCTTCTGATTTGTCTCCCTTAGAGTCATCTCTGAATCAGTGCCTACATTTAGAGAAATATATTGTGCAGGTTGGTCAGACCGTAACATACGTGCCCCGGGGTTAAGGCAGTCAGACTCCTGTTTGCCGTGGTCTGCCATGGATCAGCTCCGTCCACATACCCTTTTTTATTACTAATTAAGTTTATTGGTACACTTTAGGTATGCAATATGATCACATTCATCTTAGGGAATTTGTACCTGTACGTAATGTATCTTGATTCTTTTTTCCCCATTCCCCTCCCCTCCCTTCAGCTCCTCCTCCCCTCCTTATTTACAAAAGCTGTTTCCATTTTTTCCTTCTTTTCTCTTTTTTCTTCTCCCTTCTTTCCTTCCCCCTCCCAGCCTCCCTGGTTTCCCTCCTCATTTGAAAATTTTCTTCCTGTTTCACAATATCTACTGTATATTTTGGTCCTTGTTTACACTTTCGGTTTCTCACAGCAGAGACAATGCCATCTCTTATCTTGAGTGAGGATATTTGGGATGAAAGGAGGACAGCGAGGAACAGATGGCAAGCACACAGTTCGGATTTGTTACAAGAGTGGCTTCAAGTGACCTTTCTAAGGGCTGGGCGTGTTGGCGCACGCCTGTAATTCCAGCACTGGAGAGGCTGAGGCAGGAGAATCACAGCAAGTTTGAGGCCAGCCTGAACTGCATAGTGAAACCCTGTTTCATAAATACCGAACAAAAAAAAACAAACAAGTGGCCTCAGTAAGTTGTGATATTCTGCTGCAAATTTGATGTAGGGGGCAGAAGGATACTTCTTTATCATGATAGAAGCGTCTCATTTTAATTTGGATGATGGTTGCATGATTGTGTACGAGCCAGACAATATTCACATTATTATTTACTGATTTTATTAGCAAGAAATAATATTAAAAATTTTTGTAGCTATTTTTTATTATTATAGCTACTTTTGTCATTTTTTGTAGCTATTTTTCTAGCTATTTTTGTCATTATTCTTTTTTAATGTAGTACAGTTTTTTATTTTATTTTCCAGTTTTATTTTTTATTCCTACATGTTCACATCCTGGTGGCCAGGGAATACAGAACCAGCCATCCCTCCTCTGGCTCTCTCCTTCTCTTCACTCGTTAGTTGTTTCCTTTGTTGTGCAGAAGCTTTTTAATGGATAAGATGCCATATGTTAATTCTCGGTGTTCCCCGGTACCTGCGCCCCCCGCCCCACCACAGATTCTCAGTGTCATTTCCTGTGCATTTGGGGTTTTGTTTCACAGAGTCCTTGCCTATACCTATGGCTTCAAGTTTTACCTATTTTTTTTTAAAACTAAGAGTTTTACCTATTTTATTTTCTAGCAGATTGTACTAGCATTTATTTATTTTTTGTGCTAACATTTAGATCTTTAATCCATTTTGATTTTATTTTAGCATCTTGAAATAGGGGTTTAGATTTAATCTTCTGCATGTGGGTAATCAATTTTCCCAACACCATTTAATAAAGAAGCTATCTTTCCTGCAGTGTTTGTTTTGTCAAAGATCAGGCAGCTGAGTGTGCCTTGAGGTATTTCTGTATTCTTTATTCTGTTCCATTGATTTACAGGTCCATTTTTTTTTGTTTTGTTTTGTTTTCTCTAATACTGTGTTTCCACTATAGGTATTTTGATTGGGATTGCATTAAATCTCTGTATCAGTTTTGAAAGTATGACCATTTGACAGTATTGGTTCTGCTTGTCCAGAAATGGGATATCTTTCCCTTTTTTTTCTTTTGAGACAAGGTCTCACTATGTAGTTCAGGCAGGCCTTGAGCTCACTATGTAGCCCAGGCTGGCCTTGAACTCTCTGAGGTCCTCCTGCCTTAGTCTCCTGAGTGCTGGGATTACAGGTGTGTCCCAGCTTCAGTCCCAGGAGATTCTTGTTCTTAAAAAGTTTTCCGGGATTTAAGGCTAGGAATATACTTCAGTTTGCCCACCTTTCCCCCAACAGTTCTTTGGCTATAGTAACCAGATGCCTAGAGGTGTTTCATGGTTTGTTCATCTTATTCAGCTAACTCAGGCACTAAGACTCTGAATTATTTGACTCTTAGGTACTTTTTTAGTTCTCAGAATCAATTCTTTGGATGTCTACATTGTCATCTTTGCTTAAATTTCAAATGCATTATACTAAACAATTTTGAGAATGTACAAGGAATGAACTTCCAAAAGGCAAGGTGTCACAGACTAGGGATGTAGTGTGGAGCCTTTGCCTGGCTTACATAAGGCCCTGGGTTCGACCTTCAGCACCAGGGTGAAAAGATGTCACAATTAAATTGATTAATGTCAAGAGGGGACAATTAGAGGTGGAGGGATTGATGTAGGAGAATAGATTCTTTTTAGGGAGGGGAGTCAGAGTCTCATTATGTATTCTAGGCTGGCCTTGAACTCACTATGTAGTCCAGGCTGGCCTCCAACTCAAAGGCAGTCCTCCTGCCTCAGCTTCCCAAGTGCTGATTGAGTGCTAGGATTACAGGTGTGTACCACCACACCCAGCTGGGGTACTTTTTTTTTTTTTAATCATGATACAAATCTCATTTTAATTCTGGTGGTGATTACATGACTCAATATTGAACTAAATGCTTATATAAAGAGCAAATGGAAAGAAAAAGGCAGACTGCTGTCCCCCATACTGGTGATTGTACCCAGGGCCTTTGCACTGAGCTACACCCTATGCCCTTTTTTACTTTTTATTATTTTGAGAAAGGATCTTGCTAAGATGCTAAATGGCCCAGGCTGTGTGTGAACTTGGAGTCTTCCAGACTCGTCCTCCCAGAGTGCTGAGATTATAGGTGTGTGCTATCCTGTTTGACACCCATACTTAAAAAAAGTTCTAAGAGTTTTTATTATTTGAGTAATAATAAATCAATCATAGTCCCTAATGCAATGAGGTAGCAAGTTTGTCTGTTGATCCTTTATCTTCTGAACACTTAAAATATTTCCTTATGCTGTTAGACTTTTATTTTGATCAAAAATGCAATTTGTGTGTGAATAATGACATTTATTATCTTAAAAGCCTCCTCCACTCCATTTTCTTTAAAGAGACAAATTCTTAATTGCATATTAAGTCGTGGTTGTTCAATCTGAAGTATCACTAAAATGCTGCAATTCAATTTTGCGGAGTCCTTACAAACTTTAATTGTAGGCCACACTTCATTCTGTTAAAGAACCCCATAGGCACCACTCTCGTTACTATTACCAAAGTGTGTCTTCAATGCTGAGCTTGCTGACTGGTTTGGAGGCCACTGGAAAGAATCTTCAGCAAACTGGAGACCAATGAGACATTATACAGGGCAAGTCTTACGGAGTGAACTAGTTTCATTCTCCTCTTGAGATTGACCCCAGCACGGCCACTGGTCCATTTCCTGCTGTCAGGTGTTTTAAGACCTTACTGTAAAGTTTGGCGTGAGTGAGAGATGGAACAAAAGTAAAGAAAGCCTTTATCGTAGGGCATGGGAGGGCTGCTAAAGAGATACAAGGACCCTCTAAGGAGGAGGTGGAGAGACAAACATATTGAGCTTGGCTGAGGGTGGGGTTTATGGGGGTGGTGTAAGTGACATAATAGACGCTGATTGGGAAGAAGGGATTTCTTGTGGGCAAAAAAAAAAAACAAAAACAAAAATGGGAAGTTGTGGTTAGACTAAGGAAAGAAGGCGGAAGTTAGCCTGGGAGGGACACATTGTAGGGAAGTTAGCCTGGGAGGGACACGTTATAGGCTCTGCGCCAAGATGACTTGGCATGCATGGGTGAAAACCCCATCGCTTTTGCTTGCTCCTCGAGGACATGTATCTTGTTCCCTAATA